AAATAAATAAAAAACATTGAAAAAAAAAATTAAAAAAAAAAATACACAAAAAAGAAAAAAGAAAAAGTAGACTTCAGAACAAAGAGTATTACTAAGAATAGAGAGTGACGTTACATGATGATAAAGGAGTCCACCAAAAAGACCTAACAATCTTAAGAGTGTATGCACTTAACGACAGAGCTCCAAAATACACAAAGCAAAAACTGGCAGAAAGAAGAAACAGACAAACCCTTAATATAGTCAGAGATTCAACATTCTTCTCTCACTAATCGATAGTTCAAGAAGATAAATAATCTGTAAGGATACAAAAGATCTGAAAAACACCATCAAACAACCTGACATTTTTTTTTTTAATATTTCCCCCAACAACAGCAGAATACTGATTCTTCTCAAGTGCACGTAGAACAAGCACCAAGATAGATCATATGCTAGGCCAGGGGTCAGCAAACTACAGACCGGAAGTTAAAGCCCATCTGTTAACCTGTTTTTATAGAGAACATTCTATTGGAACACAGCCATTCCCATTCATATATATTTCATGCTATAACAGCAGAGTTGAGAAGTTGAGCCTGTGAGGAGGTTTTGAGTATAAAGTCTGAAATATTTTCTATCTGGCGCTCTATTTTTATTTTATTTTATTATTGTTTATTTATTTTTGGGAGATAAATAGAGAAAGCAAGCAGGAGAGGCACAGAGAGACAGGGAGACAGAGAATCCGAAGCAGGCTCCACACTGTCAGTGCAAAGCCCAGCATAGGCCTCTAACCCACGAACCGTGAGATCATGACCTGAGCCAAAGTTGGATGCTCAACCGAATGAGCCATGCAGGCACCCCTCTTTCTGGCCCTTTAAACGATGTTTGCCAACCTCCATTCTATGCCATAAACCAAAACTCAACAAATCTGAAAGAACTGAAATCATATAAAGTACACTCTTTAACCACCATGGAATTGAATTAGAAACTAATAACAGAAAGATACCTAAAAAATCCACAAGTTTTGGGAATTACACACTACATTTCTAATTGTAAACTCATGGGTGGAAGAGAAGAAAATTAGAGCAGTGATAGAAATCAGTAAGAAGGCATCGCTTGCCTAGTGGAGGGGCAGGGGACGGAAATAACTTGGAAGAGTCACAAGGGAACTCTTTAGGGCAATGGGAATGTTCTATATCTTAATTATAGTGGTGATTAGGTACAGGCATTCATCAAAATTCACCAACTGAACATTTAAAATGGGTGCGTTTAGTGGTGCCTGGGTGGCTCAGTCCATTGAGTGTCTGACTTCAGTTCAGGTCATGATCTCATGGCTCTTGGTTTGGGCTCAGGTCATGATCTCCTGCTTCGTGAATATGAGCCCCTCATTGGGCTCTCTGCTGTCAGCGCAGAGCCTGCTTCTCATCCTCTGTCCCCCTCTCTGCCCCACCCCCACTCACGTGCGTGCTCATTCTCTCTCAAAAATAAAAACATTTTTTAAAAATGGGTGCATCTAAATTTTATGTAATTTATACTGAAATAAGTTTAATTCTTAAAAAAATCTGAGAACTAGCAAGAGGAAAATATTTATAATGGTTGGGTGAAAAGGCAAGAAAAAAAGCGTAGGCCATAATAACAACAGTGTCAACAAAATGCAGCTAAGTATGGGAAACAGCACACTACAGAGGTGAACGAAAGCTCTAAGCTCAGAAGACCGATTCCCTGGATTCAGGTTCTTATAGTAAGTTTCTCAATTTCACCATGCTTCAGTGTCCTCATCTGCAAAATAGGAATGACAGGATCCATATCATAAAATACTAGAGAAGATCAAACAAGTTATTAGATGCAAAATGCTACAAACAGTGTCTGTAACAAATATCCAATGAATGTTAACTATTATTATCAGAAGAAATGCAC